AATCTTACCCAATAAATGCTTACCAAATAAATGTTTGGTAAACGATTCCTAAATATAAAAAGCTATTATGTTGACTAAAATCTTACCCAATAAATATTTACCAGATAAATATTTGGTAAACGATTCTTAAATGTAAATTCAAAGCGTATTAAATATTTAAAAGATAATTGTGTATGGGTAATGGACAAATGTTGGAGGAAGTGGAAGTTTATTTTTTCATTTTTTGACTTCCCATATATTAATTAAACACATTTCCAAAAATAGTAGTTATAATTTAATATGTTTGTTATCGACTGTATTGGTTTGTGTATATTTTGGCTCGTTAGTTAATTGTTATGGTGGGTGTTTAAATCGATTAATTTTAGGGCTTGATGTCGAGCACTTCCATTTGACAATGGGGCCTATCCTTTATGACGGTGTGGACGTGCGTTTGGGTGTTTATTTCCATGTCGTCCGAGTGTATATTTTTATGTCAGAGTAGTCGTCGTCTTTCAAAAAAAAATGCTAGTCATTTAAGCTTTATCGATATGTAAAACTTAAATCAAATATTACTCGTCGTCGAGAATTAAAAAGTACAGTTGTGACTGTTATACCTCCCAATGCAATTTCTAAACGTTTCCAAAGCAGTTGATTTCACAATATTAATTTGTTTGAAATAATTGAAGAAAATTTCAGATTTCATCATTAAATAGGTCGTTTATTAATCATCAAAACTTAAGGGTATGTAAAGTGTAAAACTTTGTGAACATTGATTTACATACACTTGTATTGGTTGCACCAACAACATATATCGTTGAAAACTCTGAATGATAGATCAGCCAATATAACCATAGGTTTGCTCTCTGGAGATCACGTTTTCAACCTCTCAGACCTTGAAATTTTTTGTTCGTTTCAACAATCGGATTTGAAAATAATAGAAATAACGTTCGGAATTTGATCTCTATGTTATATTCGAAAAAGATAAATGAGATTTTTATAAACCTACATATACTCTAAGGTGACGTTTGTTTTTTAAGAGGTGCTGAAGTCTGAAGTCTGAATTCACTTCTGATTTTTAAGAGATGGTGCTGAAGTCTGAAATCTGAATCAATCAGACTGTTTGTTTTTTGCGTCTGAAATCTGAAGTTTGAAGATGAGAGATCGAGAGTTGATATGGATCGACAGTTGACAGAGTTGAGAGATGAGAGATCGAGACATAAGAGTTGATCAAGAGAAATCGAGCGTAAAGAGATCAGAGTAGGTAGACGATGATTTGAAATAAGAGGTAATAAGAGGTTTCTCAACCACTTAAATTTTCAGACCTAATAAGAACTTTTAAACTCTTAATTGAAAAAGAAAAACAAACTCACTGAATCCTCTTATGTCTGATCGATTCAAACCTAAGAGGACATTAAGAGCTTTTTTATTAAAAACAAACAGCCCCTAAGTTTATATGTATCATCTGAATCTCTATATAGTCTATGTTGGAATCTGATCTATAGCTTATATTTCGAAAAAAGATAAATGAGATTTTTCTCTATAAGAGTCTTGTAACTATCTATATTGATCCAAGAACAAAAAATCTTCAACAAAATCGAAGACTAGTTGAAGTAAGGTCAAGATCGTCACTAAGCAGATTGGATTATTATCTAGCCGAAAGATGATCAATACAAGATAAAGTTAAAAGTAGTCTGACAAATACTACTTTTGACAAGTCGAAGTTAAAGTGCAAATTTATCCAGCAAGTTTGGTTCACCAACTCTAATAACTCTCATCCTGATATGGGAATATGTTTGACATGCCAGACAAAGCAAATTCTAAAGTACTATTTTATTAGTACCATACTTCTTTTATATTGTTTCCTCTACATACAGAAGAATTGGTGGGATTAACAAGTGTTTACATCAACTTCAAATATTGAAATGAAGAGTATAAACATGCATTGATCGGCAAATCAGATAAAGACACACGTTAAAGTTGGACAACAATATTTAATGCAATAGTGACTATATAATGTCATCCTTGTCATTTGTTGCAACTCACACGTTTTGAAAGAAATTCTGAGTGATAGTTTCTTAGGAAAAATCGGCGTCATTATCTAAAGGATCATCTCAATACTTCACATATGAAAATGTACCTTCTTCTCCCACTCTTTCGGTTGTTAGCAATTTTATCACCAGTCAGATTGTTTAGGATCAGGTTTTACCTTTCTAACTTCCGCAACAAATCTGTAATTCTTTATTTTAATAAAAAAATATAGAATTAAAACGTGAAATATAATGATAAAGAACTAATATTTGTAAGAGATTCATTTTAAAAACTCAAAAATACCTTAAAATCTGATGTACAAATATTATTTTTATAATAACCCGATTAATCAACTATCTTAATTAAAACAAAATAAGTTATAACATATTCAACCTTATTATTAAGTTTTAGTTATTTCTCGAAATTTGAATTTTTTTTATTATCTCATCTATCTCTCTCTCTCCCTCTCTCTCTCTCTCTCTCTCTATATATATATATATAAGAGCGATCAAATGAAAACCACTTCAATTTGTAAAAACCGTAAAAACTACTATCATCCGTCTTAATCTTATGAAAATTTTTCATGAAATTGTTTAATCTTGTGAAATTGTTTCATATAATACTTTTTTTGATGAAGTTGTTTCATATATGGTTATGAAATTGTTTCATATACTATTTAATGAAATTTTAATGAAACTGTTTCATGTGTTTCTCTAAAATTAAAATAATGAAGATGATAATATCCATGATTAACATCCTCCACAATAAAAATGATTAATCAACCTCTCATAATTACAAAAAAATGAGCAAAATAAAAAATTATGATTGATAGAATGAGGTTTTTACGGTTTTTACAAATTGAGTGGTTTTCATTTGATCGTTCCCCTATATATATATATATATATATGGGCTTAATCAAATAAGAACTAATTAGTTTGTGGTAACTATGAGGTTCAATATGAGCCAATCATTTTATTATATTAATTCTTATTGTTAAAAGTTATTGGGTATCACAGTGGTAACATAGTGGTATCACAAGGTATCATAGTGTGTATCACAATGTATTTTTGTCGTTATACGAAGTGTATCACATTACATTTTTGTTGTTTTACGAAGTGTAACACAATATATCAGGTAATGTTTTCTTTACCAAGTGCACCACATTATATTTTTTCGTTATTTTATGAAGCGTATCGCAATGTGTATCATGTGTTCATATGGTGTTTGACGGAGAGAGATGAGGAGAGAGAGGAGAGAGGAGGGAGGAGGGAGGAGAGAGGATAAATTTATAATGACTAAAATGCCCTTAGTTAATATTTTAAGTTAAAATTACTAAAATTTTTAATTTTCTAATTTAACATTTGATTTGTGGTTAAGATTGGATCTCACTGTTACTACAAACTAATCAGTTCTTCCTTGAATGGACCCCTATATATATATGTATAAAACCAAAATTATTGTGTTAACTTTGTTAACCGATCTTGACCGTTAATTTAAATAATAAACGATTGTATTTAATGATATTTAAAAATTAATTATTAAATTAATTATTTCAATTAACATATGTGAACAAAATATCAAAAGGTATTTAGGTAAAAAAATAATCTATCTTTGATACACGAGTTGTCAGACATAGGAACAACTTGTGTATATCCTTAAAACACATCAAACAAAAAAGATTAGACATATGAACAACATATGAACATCTTCTGTATATTCAGGAGTCAACTTTGTTGTATATACATGAACACCTACGAAGCTTGTGTTTACATAAAAAATTCACGGTTCCCACTGCATTACGTGGTTACACAACTAGTATATATTTAATTGAAATATTAACTAAATAAAGATAATGACGTGTATTTAAAAAAAACATGAAAAGGAAATAAAAAAGGTAAGATAATAATAGAAAAAGGAGGGGGTATTGTTGTCAAAAGGGAAAAGAATGGGAGTTTGAAATGGGGTAGGGGCAAAACCGGAAAACCACAGTGAAAACGACAAAGAAAACCATTGGGTGGCCGCTGATGGGCAATTTCACCCCCACCCATTTTCTCCGGCCGTACCCTTCTTCACACACTTCTTTCTTTTCCAGCATTTTCTTCTTCCACCTCGTGTTTATAAATCCAAAATAAACCCAAATTCAATCTAGAGAGAGAATCTTGAAAGAGAGAGAAAGAACTGTCTGTTTGTGTGATTCTTGGTTTTGCTTGGTCATGGCGGACATGAGTATCACTGGGAGCTTGTAATTGGAAAAAGAAGAAAACGCTTTTCTTTTGCTTCTGGGATTTTTTCTTTCTACAGCATTTGACAATGGCGGTTGCGTATTTTAGCAGAAGCAGGAAGAGAATTGTGTTCTTGTTCATCTTCTTCATCGTCTGCGGTCTGATCTCGCTATCTTGCGCTGCTAGGCAGCCAAAAGCTTCCAGGCAAAAGCTTCAAGTTCATAAGCACTTAAAGCGCCTCAACAAAGCCCCTGTGAAGACCATTCAGGTGTGCTGAACTCAAAATTATTGGGTTTCTTTTTGTTTTTAATTATTTACAAGCACTTAGTTAGTTAGTGCATTTTGCTTCTTTAACTTTAATAAAACTATAGTTTGTGTTTGATTTAATGGTAATTTAAAGTTTCTTGTAAAAATTATTTGTTATAATCAGCACTTTAAGAAAAAGTTGAATTTGTTAATTATTTGTATGAATGATTTCATTTCACAGAGCCCAGATGGGGATATGATTGACTGTGTACACATCTCTCACCAGCCAGCTTTTGATCACCCCTTCCTCAAAGACCACAAAATCCAGGTCTCTTTTTATGATTAATGCATTCAAGATTTCATTATCATTCATGAACTTTCACTTTTTTAACTTTTTTGTTTTGGTTTCATTTAGATGAGGCCTAACTATCATCCAGAAGGGATTTATGATGAGAACAAAGTGAACACAGAGTCCAACAAAAGAGAAAATACGATCAACCAGCTGTGGCACGTGAATGGCATGTGTCCTGAAGATACAATACCCATAAGGAGAACAAAAGAAGATGATGTTTTGAGAGCAAGCTCTGTTAAAAGATATGGGAAGAAGAAACATACAAGCATTCCTGTGCCAAGGAGCATTCCTAAGTCTGCAGATCCTGATCTTGTGAATGAAAGTGGACATCAGGTGAGCAACAAGATTAAACAAATTCTCTTCTTGCTGACAAAAGAATGTGCTACATGAGTTTTCTTGCAAGAAAACCCTTGTTTATTTGCACTAATTATCAATGGCAATGGTTTATTGAGTTTGAATGCAACCCTTTCAGCTAGTAATCACATATGGTTCTATAGGAAGACCCTTGTTTATGTGCACTAACCATCAATGGGTGTAGTTGTCTTTCTGAGATTGAATGCACCCTCTTTTCAGATTTTCAATTACATATTGTTTGAGGTGAAATGGTTAATTTTAAATGCATCTTTCTTTATGGGCATTGTAGTTTTAATTCTTATTATGATTGATTGACTTTAGTATTACCTTTGAATGAAATGTATCCTTTTTGGTCAACTAATTACAAATGGTTTTCTATGATCTTTATGGCATGTAGCATGCAATAGCTTATGTGGAAGGAGACAAATTCTATGGAGCAAAAGCAACCATGAATGTTTGGGAACCAAAAATACAGCAACCAAATGAGTTTAGTTTGTCTCAAATCTGGATTTTGGGTGGTTCTTTTGGTGAAGATCTCAACAGCATTGAAGCTGGCTGGCAGGTAGCCTCCAAAACCCCAATATTATATATATATATATATATATATATATATATATNAACAGCATTGAAGCTGGCTGGCAGGTAGCCTCCAAAACCCCAATATTATATATATATATATATATATATATATATATATGTATGTATATATATATATATATATATATATATATATATAATATTATATCCTCACTTTGAAATCTTGATGTCAATTCTTGAATCTGATGTTAAAATGTCAATAATAATATTCAGGTGAGTCCAGACCTTTATGGTGATAATAACACAAGACTCTTTACTTACTGGACTGTAAGTATTTCATTCTATGCTCTCTCTTTAAAAACACCATATTTTTTTGACCAATTTTAATGGGCATTTGTTCTTTCTTTTTGTTGAACTCGTTATTTAATTTAATTTTGCAGAGTGATGCATATCAAGCAACAGGTTGCTACAATCTACTATGCTCAGGTTTCATCCAAATCAACAACAACATAGCAATGGGTGCAAGCATCTCCCCTGTTTCTGCATATAGGAATTCACAATATGATATCAGTATTCTTGTCTGGAAGGTAACTTCCAAACTCAACCCACTGAACTTGTCTATGGACCTAAATATTTGTTTATTAATTAAAAGAGAGCACTAAGTGAGAAAAGGCTCAGTAATCTTGATTTTCACTCATTATTTTATTGGTAAAAATGTGCCTTGTTCAAACACCCCACAAGAAAAAGTGGCACCTTTGATGTATTTTCCATTTTCTTGAATTAAAAAACCAGAAGGTCATTGAATCATTTGAGGAAAATGTAAACTTGGAACAATTGCTGAGAATCTTTGGCATCTTCTTTGGTTCCCCCACCGACATAGATAGTGGTGTGTTTGTGATCAAGGGAATCTACTGCCTGAAACAGAAGTACAGAAACCCTTGTTATGCATTGCTTATTAAAAAATGGGCACCAAGAAAACTGACCCACTAAGCCCATGGTTGGCCAACTTATTTTTGAGTTAATTAAAAAGACATGTTTACATTATCATTTGGCTTATGAGCTAGTTTTTACCAAACATAACTAGCTTATCGACTAGCTTATGAGCCAACATTTAGCTTATTAGCTGCTTTGCCACATATGGCATAAGCAAATCAATTGTTAACGATTCATTGGAATGCTGATGTTATTTCAGGATCAAAAGGAAGGAAATTGGTGGATGCAATTTGGAAATGGATATGTGTTGGGATACTGGCCATCTTTCTTATTCTCATACTTGGCTGATAGTGCTACGATGATCGAGTGGGGAGGTGAAGTGGTGAACTCCGAGCCCGATGGGCAGCACACTTCGACCCAAATGGGCAGCGGGCGGTTCCCAGAAGAAGGGTTTGGGAAAGCCAGCTATTTCAGGAACATTCAAGTTGTTGATAAAGAAAATAATCTGAAAGCTCCCAAAGACATTGGCACTTTCACAGAGCAATCCAACTGTTATGATGTCCAAACTGGGAGCAATAGTGATTGGGGTCACTACTTTTACTATGGAGGCCCTGGTAAAAACCCAAATTGCGCTTAACCCCCTTCTTACCCTAAATTCTGAAATCTACCTAATGTTATATAATTTTCTTTTTCTTGGGTCAATTTGTAGGGTTTAGTTGGTACATGTGACCTTTTCTGTGGTAGGAAGTTTTGGGTCTTTTTTTTCTTGTTTTTTTTTTGTGGGTTGAATTTGGAAAGTTCTCTCTTGATTTTAAGTGAATGGAGGGGGATGTATGTGGCAAAGTTTGTCAAAAGTATGAGTTTTGCTGTTTTCTTTTTTGAATCTTTTTGGAGCAGTTGAATGGGTTCAAGATATTGCACCAAAGTTTAGGGGTTGAACTTGCAACTTTTCAAAAGTGAAAGGTTATTCCGATTTCATCTTTCAAACTTCAGGGCTCTTAGTTTGACATTAAGAGAATGATCAATGACAAAAGATGCTTGGATTTTTGGTTGGTGAAGTGCACCCATGACCCAACAAGTCAGAAATTGTTCGAAAACTACCCCTCAGTTTTGAATAATGACACAAGTCACCCCTTTGTTTTTTTATTGGCATTTGTATCCTTTTGAATTATATGATTCCTCTCATGGCCTCATCATTTTGTGGGATTGCTTGTATCACGTGAAAAGGAAATGAATATATGATTGTCACTCTTATTACTACATGAGTAAGCCAAAACCAAAAGTTTAAATATAATATAAATGAAATACATGTTTTATTTTGAGGATTTTGGTATATATATATATATATAAGTGGAGGTTTGAACGAGAACCCCTGTAATTTACGAAAATATAAGAACAATCCAATAAAAAAACAATGATGACAATCATGACATAATGAAAGCAATCTGAATAGATGGGAATGTAATAATGGTAAAGGGTTATTTGGGTAATAAAAAGGTTAGTATAACATATAATAATCATTAATGCTTCAACCACAATTAATTGGTTGAACAAAAGGGATAATGTTGGTGGTTTTTGGTGTTGTGTTTGTCCATGAAACAATGATGAATGCATCCATGGTTTATGGTATCCAAGGCTACTTTCCTTTTTACAAATTTTATTGTATTTTGTAAAATTCACACAACTTAGGTTATATATTAAGTTGTCCGTACACCATTAAACCCCTCATGTATATTGTTATATGTGATAGGGTGTTTTCATGTTTATATAAAATGAATGGGTTCTCTAAACTTACACACACATATGGAGTGATAATTTACCTCAATTTAAACCGTACCATGAGGGATAATCTACCTCCTCGGGAGGCTATGATTAAAATTGTCGATGATAAAGATAGAGGCATACGAGACTATACAACAGCTTTTGAACCAAAACTGGTAATATTTCAAATGATTTCCATAATGGGTCAGTTTGGGGGATTATTGTCGGAAGATCCGAGTTCTCATTTAAAATCTTTTATAGAAATGACGGATCATTTTAAAATTTCTGGAGTCATACAAAAAGTTTTACGCTTGACACTCTTCCTTTACACATTAAATGATAGAGTTAGAGCATGGCTAAATTCTCAACCACCAAACTCGATCCTAACTTTGAATGATTTGGCGGAAAATTTTCTAAAAAAATACTTTCATCCAACAAGGAATGTAAAAGTTATGAAATTATGACGTTTCGCCAAGAAGAAAATGAAGCGGTTTCGGACGCAAGAGAGAGCTTCAATGACCTTCTACGGAAATGTCCTCATCATGGAATGATGGAATCCCTCATTGTATTCAATTTAAAAATAAAATAAAATAATGGACTTTCCAGTGCCGCTAAAATTATTATTGACGCAACGGCCGGTGGAGTTTTCAAAGCCAAAACCTATAACGAGGGGTATGACATTTTGGAACGAATTTCTAATAATGATACTGAATGGTCAAATCCTCGTGCTATTGTTTCTAAATTTGCCTCGGGCATTCACGAACTTGATGTCATATCTTCTTTAAATACTCAAGTTGTAGCTTTAACTAATTTGGTTAAAAACAATTTTAGCTTAAATGGGGAAAAGAATCCGATTCAATCCATAATATCCAATCTATCTATGACCGAATCTTGTGTCTTTTGTGGTGAGGGTCATTCTTATGAATATTGCCCCGAAAATCCCGTCTCGGTAAATTATATTGGGAGTCATGGTATAATAGCCCCATTTTCTCCCACATATAATCCAAATTGGAGCAATCACCCCAATTTTTCTTGGGCCGGAAATCCTATACTTCAAACCCCCCGGGGTAACCCAATTCCAAAATCGGCCACAAAATCCCCTGGGATATGGACAAGATGCTCCTCACAACTGCCAAAAATCGGGCAACCCTCACAATCACATGTGCCTAGGAAAAATGCATCAGACGGTAATGGTTTACTCGAATCATTACTCAAAGGTTTTATAAACTAAGCCAATGCAACGTTAAGAAGTTTCGAAACCCAACTCGGCCAATTTTCCGCTGATCTCAAGGGTAGACATTTAGGAACTTTACCTAGTGACAGGGAAACCCCTAAGGGTAAGGAGCATATCAAGTTCGTAACCGTATTAAGTGAGGATAGCTCAAGAGTCAATAATCACACAAATGAAGCTGCCGAAAAACCGAACCATCAAAACGAGGTTTCACACGCTTTTGATATGTCAGATTTTCCAATTTTATGTCCTCCTAATGGATAAACTCAAAATACAACTGCTATCCAGAAAATAGTCCCTGCATCCACATCCAGCACTTCACAGCTTTCAACTCAAACTTCCCAGTGGAAATATTTTGCCCACTGTCCAGTAGAAAAAGTCTAACCAACCAGCTCCAAATTTGCAAAATTTACCTTTTTCGGAAAGAATAACCAAAAATGTGGACGAGCAATTTAAGAAGTTTTTGGAAATCTTTAAACAACTCCACAATAACATACATTTGATAGAAGCTCTTGAGTAAATGCCAAGCTATGTTAAAATTTTGAAAGACATTTTAAATAAAAAGAGAAGGTTGAATGAATTTGAGATGGTTGCTTTGACCAAATAATGTAGCGCATTCCTTATTTGTAAAATTCCTCCCAAGCTAAAAGACCATGGAAGTTTTACCATCCCATGTTCTATAGGAGGAAAAGAAGTAGGTCATGCTCTATGTGATTTGGGGGGGGGGGAAGTATTAATCTTATATCATTGTCAGTTTTTAACAAACTCGGAATAGGAGAAGTTCGTCCAACTACTGTGACTTTACAATTGACGGATAGGTCCATTGCTTACCCCAAGGGTAAAATAGAGGATATTTTAGTCCAATTCGATAAATTTATTTTTTCGGCCGATTTTCTAGTATTGGATTATGAAGCTGACAAGAATGTCCCAATCATTTTAGGACAACCTTTTCTTGCAACCGGGAAAACATTAATTGATGTGCAAAAGGGGGAGTTAACCATGATAGTAAGTGATCAGGATGTGAAATTCAATATATTTAATTCCCTTAAGTTTCATGGAGAGGTAGGTGATTGTTCAATCATCTATGCTTTAGGTGAAGATCTAGAGATAAGTTTGATCGACTCTCTCTACAATAATGACATTAGCGAAATATCTAAGGACATAATGGAAGAAAAAGTTGAATTGGAAGATTTAGCGGCATTTGAACAACTTGACTCTAAAGATAGAACTATCAAAGTCCCATCAATAGAGCAAGCCCTGGAGTTAGAATTAGAGCCACTCCTTAGTCACCTTAAATATGTTTATCTTATGGAGGAGGAAAAATTACCAGTAATTATTTTCTTCAAAATTAAGTAATGAACAAGAATTAAGGTTGATAGAGGTGTTGAAAGCTCACAAGAGAGCCATAGGTTGGACCATTGCCGACATTTAGGGATATTAGTCCATCTCTTTGCCAACATAAGATAATTTTGGAAAAAAATAGTGTTGGAAATGTGCAACCACAGAGGAGATTAAATCCCATCATGAAGGAGGTTGTTAAGAAAGAAATTTTGAAGTGGTTAGATGCGGATATAATATACCCCATTTCTAGTAGTGGTTGCATGAGTCCAGTACAATGTGTACCAAAGAAAGGTGGAACCACGTTTATCACTAATGACAAAAATAAGCTCATCCCTACTAGGACCGTCATAAGATGGCAGATTTGCATGGATTATATGCAATTAAATCTAGTTACGAAGAAGGACCATTTCCCTTTGCCCTTTATTGATCAAATGCTATATAGATTGACCGTAAGAGAATTTTATTGCTTTTTGGATGGATATTCGGGTTACAACCAAATTCACATTGCACCCAAGGATCAAGAGAAAACCACTTTCATTTGTCCTTTCAGAACTTTTGCTTTTCGGCATATGTCATTTGGTCTTTGTAACGCACTACTACTTTCCAATGTTGCATGATGTCAATTTTTTGGGACATGATTGAAGATACCATGGAAGTGTTTATGGATGATTTTTCAGTTATCGGTACATCTTTTGAAAATTGTCTTGCCAATTTAAAGAAAAATTTGGAAAGATGTGAAACTCATGATTTAATTTTTAATTGGGAAAAATGTCATTTTATAGTACAAGAAGGAATTGTTTTAGTCACATGGTTTCTAAAAATGGTTTGGAGGTTGATAAAGCAAAAATCAAGGTTATAATGCAATTGTCCGAACCATATTCGATCAAAGGCATTCGTAGTTTTTTGGATATGCGAGTTTTTACCATAGATTTATTAAGGATTTTTCAAAAATTTCCAAACCCTTACGTAATTTATTGCATGTTGATCAAACTTTTGAATTTACATTTGAATGCAAAAAGGCTTTTGAAACTATCAAAGCAACTTTTGTCTCGGTACTTATTGTCATTGCCCCGAATATGAACCATACCTTTTGAGGTTATGTGCGACGTAAATGACTGGGCCGTAGGTGCCATTTAGGACAAAAACGAAACAAGAATTTCCACCCCATCTACTACGCAAGTAAAACTTTAGTGAAGGTCCAACTAAATTACACCACCACGGAAAAAGAATTACTTGCAGTAGTATTTGTCTTCGATTGTTTTCGATCCTACTTAATTGACACTAAAGTCAGCGTGTATACGAATCACTCCGCCATCAAATATTTATTTAACAAAGCCGACGCTAAAGCAACGCTTATTAGATGGATTCTTTTTTTACAAGAATTAAATTTAGAGATAGTTGATTGCAATGGATGTGACAATCAAGTGGCTGATCACTTGTCAAGAATTGAAGACAAAGTTTCAAGCAGAGAAAACCATGTTATAAAAGAAAATTTTCCTGATGAGCACATTTTGGCAATTCAAACACAACTTTCAAAATGA